GTTGGAAAGCACTCATCTGCCAGTGCCAATGGTGCGAACCTCATTTCCTACTAAGTGCATTTCTTAAGGGGGTGCCATAACTCGTACACTACTTTTCGAACTTGCACATTGTTTTTTGGTTGGCTCCAGCTTACACGAGTTGTACCTGACGCGAACTCGAATTGCCACGCTAAGGAGGAACCCTTTGAGGTGGCACTGCTAACACTTTCCGTTTTTCGAGGACATCTTTGAGAGCCCGTTCAAACGTATGGGTCCCATACGTTTGGACGTGCCTGGTACTTAGAGTGACAAAGATTTTCTACCGATAATCGCCAATATTGCATGTAGTAAGAACCTTGGTAATGTTCCTTCATCCCAGATACATCACATAGGTTGAAAGTAGCAAAAGTACGGTAGATAGATAGTCAAAGACCAAATACAAACATATGGGAAGTCTATGTGTTTGACTATAGCCACCTGAGTTGCGCCATGCTCCAAACGCTTTTCGCCTTTTCCATTCTCGTTCAGATGTTCCTGCTAACCTCGCCAGCATACATCCTAATCAGAACCAAAGAAATACGACGTAAACCATGATTTCCCATAAGGCGCCTCTGACAGGAAATACCGTACCGATCCCTAGATGGCAGCCATGAAATACTAAGCGCACTATGAAAAAATCTAACTGTCAATGAAACCGTTCTCTTTCGTAAGAAAAAGTCTTGGTAACAAAGTTAGCTTTACTTCGACCTCTTTGCTCGGAGCCCATTTATACAGAGCATCGACTGATTCCTTCAAACAATTACGCTGCTTCGCATAGATGGGACCTAACTTTAGGAATAGTCTCTGTGAGCTTTTTTCTCGGATGAGCGTTTCTCAGAGGGACTTTAGAGCTTCTGATTAAGGTTTTTCAAACGTGATTATTCAAACGCCACCAAGCCCTGTATGTCGTTATTGTTGTGCCTGATCCTTTACATCGGACTATCGTGATAGGGTGGCAAGTGGCGTACATTATCATATTATAGCCGGGGTACTACATATATTTCAGATCAATGCCCGCTTGAGTTACCCAGGCCTTCAGCCTCTCCGGGATCGATAAGTATAATAGTACCAACCCCATCTGGAAGGATAAAAACAATAACTTGTACATCGGCCAATTACAACCAGTTTATGCCACACATGCATTCAGCCCGCGAGTATGATTCTGAAAAGAAGTGGCATGCGAGGCATCCCAAAAGAGGATTACACTGATGCCAAAAGATTCATCCTTCGATCCTCCTTATCATACAACTAACTCAACGCTTTTGTCAGGTTTGGGTAGCAGAGAAGGATTAATTCGGAGGAGCAATCGCCAGAAAATGAGGATGGCTCCCTATCGACTATCAGAAGCTTCTATCTGGTAGACGTCCTTGAATCGAACGAGTGTTTCTGTTCGAAATATTTATGATTAGGGTCAACCTTTGCGCATCAACGAAAATAGTACGGTATAACCCATCCCCCGCTTTTTCCTGACCTTTAAAAGATCTCTTTTTATTAATGCAAATGAAAGCTACTAAAGATCGCTCCGGTATTCATTCTGTCATCAGACGCTTTCACTTCCCGATTTCGATTTCAGATATATTTTGTTACTACAGGGAGACTCTCTGAGATTTTTCAACTAGGAATAGTTCAATGAACTTTCACAGGGTGCTAGAACATTCTTGATACAAGTGTTTACTAGGTATGAATGTCCCAGGACGTGTTAAAGTCAACAGTATACCACGGGTTTCACCTTCTTGTTTGGTTGACCTATATTGAAACGACTTTTTTGCTTCATAGACATGCCTCTTGGTGTTACCGCGAACTACTGAGAAGAAGTCTCGAGAAAGTGATGTTTTCAAAATGTAAGTGTTGAGAGCTCTGTAAACATATGTCCGAAGAGAATTGTTTTTCACTCACTATATCCCATTAGGGATGCGGTAGAGACGCCAAGTAGTTGATTTCTGGCTATGAAAGCGAAGCAGATGAGTAAACGTTCAACGTTTCGTGATGGTCTTTGTCACTCTTCCACCTTTGAATAATCGTGCGTAAGGCTGAAGTCGGTGAGGGTGGCGTACGGGCACGTTGCGCACTATCACGTGTCCTAGTCCAGAAATCGAATCCTGAATCGATGTCTGCCTTGGTCGACAAGCCTTTCATCTCTGCGGGGTCGGATGATTCTAAACTTCACTACGATTTTGAATCTATGCACGCGATGATCTAATGGTGAGTTTGGAGTGGGAACCGCAATGGCGCCTCTCAGGAATGACCTGAGACATTCGACGGTTAACAAATAAAGGCGCATCACACGGAGGTTTTGTAGTCTATGTATCTCTTCATAAACACAAGTTTGCAATTCTTTGTGAACCTAGGGTCTTTAGAGCCTTACCATCTCATAGACCATACGATTCCTGGGGCGCACAAATTCTAGCGACGTTGGGAAATGCTTCCTATCAGTTGGAACCGATTTGAACGAGCCTCTAGACTGTAAATATTCTCAGTTCTTTATTAGAGCAAAGAGTTGTTTGGGATCTGTCATGATGGTAAATCACTTTGTCTCTAATTTTTTTCTTTCGTAAATTTTCTTCACTCAGTAGTGCACACTGCTGAACTTGATACGTAGAAAATCAAGAAAGCGAACCTTCGAGTTTGGTGATTCATGGCATATAATCCATTAAAGGCACCGTTCACGATAAAAAGGTTACTGAGTTGTTCCTTTAGGAATACTCAGCGCCTCCCATGAGTGGTAGAAGGGACCCTCTCGCCCCCACAATCTCGGCGTTTAGGGCATAGTGGAAGCTCCGTTGTTGCCGTAGTTCGCTTTCCCGCCCCTCGATCGGTGTCACGTTAGACAAGTGTCGAGACAATACAGATTGCTAGTATTCGTTCTAGGACCCACACACAATCAGCTAATCGCCGAGTGATGAGGCAGTGTTTTTCTCCCATTCTTTTTCCCTCTGTTTTTCTTTTTGCTGCCGCGATCCCTTATTTAATTTCCTACTCCTTGTGGCTGAAAAAGATGAGCAACTTTTGCTGTTACTTGGGTTTTTTTGTTTATTTATGCTTATAAGTGAATGAATTTTGCTTACCATTGTCTGTTATTCGAACCAGGACCCACACGCGCGCAGTGAAACACACTGTTTAGCTCGTCCGGACGCCCCACTCTTCTTCATTTTTCTGGTTTCACTCTCGTCCAGTCCCCCTTTTTAACGGTTTTTTGAAACCTTTTTTCACTTTAGAAACACCGATGCACGCAGTTTCTTCACCTCAGTCCCCCTAGTTTCGATCTTGTCTTCCATTTTTCATCATAATCTGGATTACCCAAAATTATTGTGAACGGTGCCTTTAAGAAGGCGTGGGCAAACGGGGTCTGCAGGAGTACGGGTTCAAGTCCCGTCCCAGACCGAAGTTTCTTCCATAACTTGCCGTCGATTCAGAAAACAGCAATTCAGCATCCATTATACGCAGAATTGACAACAGGTTTCTAGAGAACTTATCCCTGCTTTACTGGTCGAAATACATGGAATCTTAATTGTTCTCCACATTGTGCCCCAATTTCCAGTCATTGAGAGGGTCCTAGCACCGATGTTACTGTCGACATATGTTTTCGGAGACATGATCAGGAGAAAAGAAAATAGCTTCAAGTGACCATCGCTTTCTGACATATTCTTCACAATGCTGAGGAAACTGATGCTGGTATTTTCGAAGCTGCATTACAGGCACCAACTGCTACCACCAACCTTTGATTAATTCCTGCACTTCAGCAGCATAACATATTTATTGCGAAGTCCACCTATGGCGTCGCTTTTCTATTAGTTTTCTGGAGAAAAGAGACAACCGACGATGATGCAATCTTTCTCCGGGTTCTTTTTGTCGAAAATTCCGTTGCAGCCATAGTTAGCACTTGTTCCTAGAGAAGTGGTGACCTAAATGTGACCGATGAGTAGCTTTTGCTGCCAAAGGACGACACAGTCAGATAGAGTGCATTGTTTCTCTGGAACAATTCTAATATACCTTGAAGGCAAGCTCAACCGAACCACATTACATAATAGCCCCCTACACTTGTGCTTGGCTTTAGCACTGCTATTCTAGTAAAGGCATTGGACCGAAGGTGGAACTACGTCTATCAATCGTTCAACCACGTTCAATCTTATCTTACGAAGACCGGTGTGAAAGAAATAAATCAGAGCTCGAACTCACTTTTTTATTTTGGTTTTTGAAGGGGGTCGCAAACCTTGCAGCCACCTTATTGAATTCATCCGGCATATCACCGCGCGGCTTCGGATAGCATCTGACACATGCTCCTATGAGAAACATTGGGCAACTTATAAGTGGACGCACCTTCTTCCTTTGTATGACAATCTAGCCTTTTCAGAAGAGGTTTTCTTCATCCATTGGAGTGCTTTCTCTGATAAGTCATCGCTCCAATTCTAAGAGTAAGAATAAATTGTTGGATACATAATATGGCAATTGCGCTTTTCAATCGAAGCGTCGAAAATACTCACATCACCAAAATATTTCTTGCTGAAGTCCTTAAGTTCCTCTAGTGCTAATGTTGAGAAGTCTAAAATATGGAGATCTCCTGCGAAGTCCCTTTATAGGAACAAAGAGTCTTAAGAGTTATGAACTCCTTTCGATTTGGTAGGAAAGAGAGCACTCACCCTCGCTGACGACAGTCGATATTGAGAGAGCCAGCGCTGTTAGTATGAACAACATTTTGAATGTGGCAGATTTTTCTGATCACGCATACTATTTATAGATGATGGTTGTGTATTTTGGCCGCACCTGCTCGTCTTCCATGATACATGATGGTACATTTTCGGAAATGAAGGAAAAGCTGAACTCGTTCAGCCCATTCACAATCATGAATCATGCTGGTAGCAGTTGAAAACCCGTCAGAAAATATTACCTACTATGTGAAACGAGCGGTGAGGAGTTGAAGTAGTTTAGCTTTTAGATGACTCAAAATATACTCTAACAAAGAGAAATGCACTTGTGAGTATTGGAAAACGTTGTTTTGCCCTTTTGAATGCATATGTAAAGCTGCCATTCTTACTAGCTAAAAGGCATAATTAATTTTCATTGGATGTCCTATATACGCAAACATTCAGATCCTTGGAGTTACCAAGAAGAATCGGCAATTACTGGTTAATTCGATTACTTCACTTGATTTTAGACCATAAAATGTGCGAACACATTTTTCTTCATATGACCCTCTATACGAACGTAATGATGAACATGTTTCAATTTTGCATACTTCGGCGAAGATGGAACTACTAACTGTTTTAATCTGAATGTTTACGTATGTAAGAAATCCAATTAGAGTTAATGATGCCTTTAAAGCCACAAGAATGGCATCTTCACATATGCATTTGAAAAAACAAAACAATGTTTTCCAATACTCTCAATAGCTTTTCTCTTTGTTTCGGTATATTTTGAGTCACCTAGAAGCAAAATAACTTCTACTCCTCACCGCTCTTTCCACATAGTAGGTAATATTTTTCATTCCGTTTTTCAACTGCTACCTCTATGATTACTGTGATTGTGCACGGGCTGAATGAGTTCGGCTTTTCCTTCATTTCCGGAAATGTACCATCATGTATCATAGGAAGACGAGCAGGTGCAGCCAAAATACACAGCCGTCATCTATAAATAGTATGCATGATCAGAACAATCTGCCACATTCAAAATGTTGTTCATACTAACAGCGCTGGCTCTCTCAATATCGACTGTCGTCGGCCAGGGTGAGTGCTTCCCTTCATACCAAATCGAAATACCAAATCGAAAGGAGTTCATAACTGCAAAGACTCTTTGTCACTATAAAGGGAGTTCGCAGGAAATTTCCATATTTCAGACTTCTCAACATTAGCACTAGAGGAACTTAAGGACTTCAGCAAGAAATACTTCGGTGATGTGAGTATTTTCGACGCTTCGGTTG